CATGAACGTAAAATTCATATTTGAATATTAAAATTTTTTGAAGATAGGATTTTTTTGTTCTTCAAAATGTGTAATACCATGACCCAATTTAACTGCATTAAAAAATTATGCTAGGGCTTTAAGTCTTTGGTTTTATTGTTTTTTAGGGTTTAGTTGTTTGGGTTACTTTTTGGATGAAGGGTGATTTCTCAGATTTAATTTTTACTGATACACAAGCTAAATGGGAATTAAGCATATGTCTCACCATGAAACAGAGAATTCAGGTCATGTCACTGTAAAACAGTAATTAACATAGTTCCACTTCTGTATTTTTCCTGCCAACATAATCCTGAAAAGGGCACTAAAACTGTGTTTATAGATAGGTTGGAAAGATATAATTTCTTCTTAAAGCACATCCATGAAGACTAAGACAATAGATAATTAAGAGGAATTGAGCAATACCTAGACTGAGTGAGTCAGGATATTCAAACCATCCCATTTTCTGTAACACTATAACATTCTTTGAATTAGTATATTTATTTTGCCTTATTCTCTACTCTGCTGAATTTCCATTATTTCAGTTAAATAATTCCATATATACTTTTGGAATTCTGAAAATTCAACTCAACAGTTGAATAACTTAAAATTATTATAAAAAATTTTATCATCCTACACAGTGCACAAAGCATGGGATGTGGGGGTGGAGACACTGGAATTTATTACTTCTGTGTGTTGTAGTATGCAATTTATCAAGATACAGGAGCACTGACTTGCACTGGGACAAGTTAGGAATTTCCTCTAACTCCAGCAGTGTCTTCAGCTGCCACCATGGAGAGGTATGAGTAGCAACAGAAACTACTGAGCTGGCAGATGCAGGATCCTCACAAACCCTAAAGTGCATGAGAAATTAAACTTAGCACAGCAGCACTCTACTTTTTGAACAGTGTCCACTAAAATAAGTAAGAGGAAAAGCTTTAACTTTCTGTTTTATTGTCCCAGAAAGATCCTATCCATGGAATGTATTTTGATAAATACAAAATTATACTCTAAGTCAAAATAAGGCCTTTTGAATAACATCAACAACCCTATTATTGCTGCATGCAAGCTTGGGGGGGGTCTAGAAATCTCAGGAACAGTAATTCCAGAAGTACTTTTACTCAAAGGACAGAGAGGGATAATTAAGAAGTTGGTAAGTCTCTCGCCCAGCTGTCTGCTATTTTGCTGTTGTGCTATGGGAACACAGAGAGAGAGGGAGAGATGAAGTACTTACTCCCAGAGAGCTCTGCAGTTATTCAAGATGTAGACAAAATGTGGTTTGTCTGTATTCTGGAGTTACAGCACAATCTAAAGCCTTACATTTTACCCACATGGAAGAAAAAAAGATAGGTATTAAGATATTTCTCTCCATTATCCAGTTAAAATGTTTTATAGCCCTGAAGGTCAAGTAAAGCCTTTTTTTCTGTGTAGGATGCCTGCTTTCTGATTAACCTGAGACTAGAATTTTCAGTATCTCACTTTAGCTAACAGGCAACCAGACTTTTGCCAACTAAAGATGGAGGAACCTAGTCTTTATCATGCCTGCTAAAAACCGGTTTTAAAGTTAAAGGGGTTCAGTGTGCTGTATTAAAACCAGGTCTTTATAAATCATAAGACTCCTACTAACTTACAGGATGATCACAGATTTCATTAAATGTAACTAAAATTACATTATATCAGAAGGCAGTAAAAGAAACACATATAGTTTATATTCTATTACCTTGACAAATATACCATGGCTGTATAGGTACTTCTTTAGGCCAAACTCAGTGAAGGATAGTTAGGTAAATTGGTCCTTAATAATTTTCATTTTCCCTCATGTATGAAAAATACATTTCCAAAATCCAGATTTTCTCAAACATATGTAATCAAGTTATCAATTTGATCCCAGGATCTCAAACTGGGATTTGATCGCACAGTTTAAACCTTGGGAAGATGATGCTAGTAGCAGCAGATCAGCAGCAGTTGCCTCTTCAAGTGTGTGGACAATGCAAAGATGAGTAGTGCATTTGGTATGATAGAGGGAGCACTTAATGTGCTATACCATATAGAGGGAGCTTGACAGCCTCGACAACAAGACCAAGTGCAAGGTCCTGCACCCCGCATTAAGAGCAAACCCCAGTATCAATATAGATTGAGTGATGAATGGATTGAGAGCAGTCCTCCAGGGAAGGGCTTGGGGATATAGGTGGATGAAAGAATTGGACATGAGCCAGCAATGTGAACTTGCATCCCAGAAAGGCAATTGTATCCTGGGTTGCATCAAAAGAAGCATGGCCAGCAAGTGCTTCTGCCTCTCTGCTCTTGTAAGACCGCACCTGGAGCAGTGAATCCAGTTCTGGAGTCCCCAGTACAAGAAAGACATGGACCTGTTGGAGTGCAGAGGAGGACCACAGAAATTATCAGAAGTCTGGAACACCTCTATTAAGAAGAAAGGCTGAGTTGGGATTGTTCAGCCTGAAGAAATGAAGGCTCCCAGAAGACCTTAGTGAGGACTTTCAATATGTAAAGGGGGCTTATGAAAAAGATGAAGAGAGAATTCTTACCAAGACCTGTAGTGACAGGACAAGGGGTAATGGTTTGAAACTGAAAGAGGGTAGACTTAGATTAAATAGAAGGCAGAAATTTTTCATAATGAGGGTGCTAAAGGCACTGGAACAGGTTGTCCAGAGAAGTTGTGCCACACACCTGGAAGTATTCAAAGTTGGGCTGGATGGAGCTTTGAGCAACCTGATGTAGTGACAGATATGCCTTCCCATGTCGGTGGGGTGGACTGGATGATCTTTTGGGTCCCTTCCAACACAAACCGTTGTATGATTCCATGATTTGTCTGGCTACTATCATCCAGTGATTATCTGTGCAGTCCTAATAGATTTTCTATCTACTGTTGTTAATGACACTATATAGACTGAAAGGAAACAATGTAATGTGCCTCAAGAACAGAACCAACATTTATTGGAAGTATGATGTCCCACATTCAGGTCCATTCAATTCAAGTGATAATTTTCCAAAGGAAGGAAAGATCAGTCGTTCTATCTATCTATCTATCTACCTACCTACCTACCTACCTATCTATCTATCTACCTACCTACCTACCTATCTATCTATCTGTCTATTTATCAAGGGTCATCAGTAACTCATTAATGTGAACAATTCAAGGCATATTCCTCCACCAAAGGAAGCGATAATAGATACAGAATTACACACCTCTGCCATTAAAATCAGGTTTGCATGTGTCCTCTTGTATAAAGTTATAAATTCAGTGCAACTGAAACACAGCAGATTTACAGAAATAAAGATATCTTTCAAAAAGAAGATAATCTAGACTAGAATAGATACAAATCTTGTCAATCTTTCAAACTGCATGCTGTAATAATTATTATAATTATGTAATAATTATACTATTTTTTTAACTTTCATAATAACAGTTTGTTTTCCACATTGTCGTTTACCTGAAGAAATTTTTGTTTTCTTTTTCTTACTTACTAAGCAAGTAAAAAATACCTGGAATTCACCTATCTTCCAATGTCAGGCAGAACCTAGTGAGTTCTCAGGATCATATTTACATTTCATCAAGGAATTAAAAACAGAAATACACTCATAAAACACAATTCTCTGGATTTTTTAAATGCTATGTGTATAGTCTGAATTTCTTTTGTTCTTCTAATTCAATCACAGATCTTCTATAACAAAGAATAAATTCCATAGTGTCTTAAAAGCTTGACTGCCACTGTTGAAAAGCAGTATTTAATGCCAAACATAACTGTATTTTTTTATTAATCCATTTAAAATCTTCCAATACCTATCTGTTTCTTATAGGAATGCATCTGTACATAGTACTCTGATGTGCTAGAACATTCTTGAAACACATTAACCACGTTAATAGATAACTCAGCAAAAGAAGTTTCCTGTGTTTCAAAATCGTGCATGCCAAGAATATGAATCAACTTTGCTATCAAGAAAGATTAAAAAAAACCTTTGTAAATGCCATTCTAAATAAAAAAAAAAACACAAACAAAATTGTTACACCTTACCTTGCATATGTAAAATGCTGTAAATATGAACATTTGAGCAGTCTATATGCTATTCTATACAAAGTATATGTTTTTTTCAATAAGATAAATAAACTCTAATGTTTGCTGTTATGAGCAAATTTTTAGTTTAAATTTCTATGGCAAAGTATAACTTCAATAAATAAACCTTCATGTGGAGAGGAGCCTGGTATGTGCAAACATCCAGGAGCTAGAATCACACAGGCAGCAGAAAAGACTTGTGGTGTATTGTCATGGATCTAAGGTTATTTTGTTATTCAATCTAGTGCTGACGGAGGAATTTTTATAATGTCAAGAAGATGCAGTTTTTCTATTTGAAAGAAATATCAAATTCTCTCAATATTATAATTCATCATTATGGAGTTCTTTATATTTAAAAAGATAACGTTACATTACTTCTTGACTCAATATTATCTGCAACATAAATTTAATCAGGGTATATAGCTTGTTTTGTCTGTATTACCTTCATATCATCTACCCCCAAAAACCTGCACACAACAATAATAAATACAGATAAACAGTAACATTTTCCTCTTCCTATCATTACCCATTGTTTTCAAATTGGTGAGTCCTCATCCTTGGTTAATTTATTTTTCTTTACATGGAATCAAGAAGATTTTAATAAGAAAAAGATGCAAGTTTTCAAAACTTGTTAAATCAGTAAGCCAAGAGCAAGCATGACCTAACGACAAATTTAAAATAAACTAGCACTAACATCATTATAAATATCCACTCATTTTTGTCTAAGGTGAAGGGGCCTGTCAAACAGAAAGTAACTTAGCCCAGTTTCCATAAAATATTGAACAGAATTCAAAATCCACCACCAAGAATGGTCTGTTTTAAAACTAGCCCAAGGATGTAGAATCAATCAGTAAATAAATAAAGCAATCACATCTTTCTATGAAATTGGTGGTGAAGAAAAGAGTCACTTACCTAGAACCCCCAGCCTGTAATTGAGAGTGATAACAATGACATTTCCATAACTTGCGAGAATGCTGCCATCAATCATATTGCCAGTACCCTCCATGTAAGATCCACCATGGATGTAGACCATAACGGGTTTCTTGCTGTTCTGATCATGAATGTCTGAAAAAATTCAAGTAAGGAAAACATAATAAAGTAATAAAAGATATGGAAATATGGTATTAACAATTTATAACAGTGCTAAAAATATTTCCTATGTTTTCAATAGGAAATTTCACCACTTCAGCTGGTTTACACAGTTCAGGGTCATCCTACAAGTCTAATAGTTACAGCTTGAGTATTTCTCTTGGTTACTTCAAACACTATTTCCTCTGAAATGTTCTCTGAACACTTGAAATATCTTCAGTATTTCAAGGAATTTAATTTGTATATAAAAATCTAAAAGCCTAAAGAGAAAAATCAAATTATGGAATAGTCTTGTCTTTTTTTAGAATATTCTTATCCAAGTATAAATCAGCACAGAAATATCTGTACATATCATAATAAAATTAGAATAATGATCTATACTTTCCCATTCCTCACTGAGACATTATTGTCAAAATTATAGCCCCAATAGTTCAGTATGAGATAATATCACAAAATCAAATCGTTCCAATAGAAGTAAACATAGTACACTTTTCCTTCTTCCAATAGCATATGAGTTAACAGAATTTATGTGAATTCATGGACCAGATTTTTTGTACTGAAATCAAATGGTGTCTTCTGTGTTGTGCTTTTCCTTGTCATAGTAGCTAAGTCTTAAAGAACAGCCTTGAATTAATGCTCCGTAATGGTATTGTTGATCTTCTGTATATGCAAAAAAGCTCTTGACTTCTTGCAAACAGATAAACAACTGGGTCTTTATTTATAAAAAAAGTTACACAAAATTGATAGCAATACTTTCATACTTCATGGTGAGCTATAAAGATTAACTGAGTTGTATTTAGTACTGTATTCATCTCTCTTCCTTTATTAAGCAAAAAGTTAGGTTCCTGAGCCCAGAGATGGTTCGGACTACCTAAATTGGGAAGTTACATTCTCTACAGTAACAGTGGGAACAGGGCTTAAGCTCCTTTAAAAAGCAGAGGGCAACTCAGCAAGCTGCCATTAGGTATACACACCTTTTACAAATAATTTGGTGTATCTGCATGTGTAATAGAAGCACTTTTTTTAATCATACAGTACAACATACAAGAGAAGGCAGAGTCTCTGATTATTCTAAAACAGAGATTAAAACACGGTGTTTGGGTAGGATAGGCGTGTACTGAATAGTGGGAAAAGGAAGTAACAAAATTAAAAGCTGAGCTAAATACTTAGAGGTAGGGCATATAGGTTTAAAATCTTCCAAAACTTCTCCTGAACGTTGTTAGAAAAGATAACAAACGTGATCAGCAGTGAGTTACAACATATATAAAACATGCTGTATTTTATGCACTGTACTTGAGCAGCAGAACAAAATTTTTTGTCATAAGTTCTTAATTGTTGTGACTATAAGAGTAATGCAGCTATTACACAGATCGTATAAAGCAATGAGGTGCATTCCAGTGGATGTATTTTTTTTCTATTCTGAGCATTTTCAGCTAACTATATGAAAGTGTTTCTTCTGTAAAAGCAAAGCTAAGCCCTGAAAAAATGAAAGCAAAGAGTTATTTAACACAATTATTTGTGCTACTGAATTACCTCTCTCCAAAGTCTCAAGGCATGGTTTGTTGTATTTAATCTTTCCTTATTACATAGTTCTACCTTAGGGTTGAATCTTTCACTGCTGAAGTCAATTGGAGGTTTCCTCTTCCCCTTCAGCGGGAACACGATTATCTTCAACATAAAGGAAATGAGCTCCACGCTTTATATTCTCAAATCTAAAGTGGATGCCCTTGTTAACCACAAAAAAACCCTAGCATTTTTAATTTTTTAAGAAGTCTTAGTTACAACGTATTCATAATCCAATATATATTTTAAGTTTTTCAAGCAATTCTGGTTTTGCTTCTAATTTATCTTTTGCTTAAATACAGAATTTGATATAGAAAACTATGATATCATTTCTAAAAAAAACACCTATGCTGCAGAGAAATAGGAAGGTATTATTCAGAAAATAACAGAGAAATTTTGGAGTATTTTGAACAGCATTGTTGTTTTATAAGAAACAGTGTAATTCAGTAATGAGGGGGGTACAGTAGAGGGCAATCAGTGTGAATCAAAGACCTGAGATTTTTATTATGGCATTTTGTGTACAGATAGATAAGCTGCAATTGAGCTGAATTCCCAGGAAAAGCAGAGATAGTGTATGCAGAATGCATGATTCTAAGGCAAACAACAGGGACAAATATTTCAGTTATTTGAACTGAATTCAGATAGAAGAAAACAGGAAAAAAAAAACAACTCCAAACCATGGAATAATGCTTTGGATTGGTTGAGAACAAGAGGATTAAGAAACATACTGCACAAACAACACACCAATAAACTACCCAAGATTTTTATCTTTTCAATTAATTTGAAAAATATTTGTCTTAATTTTGTAAATATAGAAAGTAAAATATACTGTCAGTGTGACTTTAATGAAAACAGTGAGAATAGACCAAGATTTCATGACTTCTTTCTATATCAGTGCATCCCAAACAGACTGGCCGTCCCAAGGCAAGAAAAAAGTATTTCCTTGTAAAAATAAATTTTTGGGTACTTTACTTAACATTTCCTTCAGTGAATCCAATCCAATTCTGAAAGAAGTCAATGAAAATGATTGTAATTGATTTCAGTGGGAATGTGGTCAGAGTCAGAACAAACGTATCTCAGAGGCAAGCTGATTACAGGAAAAAAAAACAATAAAGCAACATCAACAGCTGCCTTTATTTTTGTGTTCTGAAATAAAGCACATCCTGTGAGAAAAAAAAATAAGTACATAAAAATAGCAAAGACAAAGCACAATTCAACTGCATCAATGTACAGCATGTGCCCTGGGGAAACAGTGGAAGTAAAAGAAAGGAGAAATGTGATTTTTTTCATGACTTTCAAACAGGTGAATTTAGAAAATACGTAGGAGGGAAAAGAGCACATGCATGCTTTTAAATTCCATTTTATCAACCTAAGAAAGAATAAAGGAAAAAAAATATGTTGTTTCAAATAATATTTATGTTACTCACTTCACACATATTTAGGGACAACTTTTACACCTATGTCAGAGGAACTGCAGTCTATATGCTAATTTGAAATTTAAAATTTCTAAAGAAGAAAATAAAGAAGCACGCTGAAGTGTGCTTCTGCAAATAAGGGACTAAAAATAATGTTGAAATAACAGCAATAACAATAACAATGATAATCACTATTATAATAAAAATTTAAAAGTTTATGTTCATGCATCAGGGTTGAGCTTTGAAAAAACAAAAAATACCTTCATCTTCACCACGATCATTACTGGTTATATCATCTGCGCTTTTCTTTGTGTTGGCTCCTGGGATCATAGTGAGGAGGAGAATAAAGGGAAAAAAAGAGAATTCAAAACCAGCAGGTTCTCAAAAAAAAACCCTAAAAAAAACTAAAAAAAAACCCCAAAACACTAGTACAAAAAAAAAAATGTAACAAAAATGTCAAAATCTGTTACATTTGAAATTGAAAAACAAAAAAGATGCAAACTGCACATAAACATAAAATGTCAAGAAGAACAAATTGAAAATATTTGAAAAAATGTATCATATTCTGTGACAATGCAGTTACTTCAGTTAAAAGTGATTTCTGCAAAAACAAAATTAATGTGCTATTAAAAAAAATATAAACCAAAAATTATATTAAAAAATTGACCAAATTATGGTTTCTAAGTAAGAAATGCAATTTATGTCATTCTGTTCTGTAACCTTGTAGAAATAATGCCTTCAGTTACCAGCTTGAACAACTTAACATTTTATTTATGCTCATTAGGATTTAAGAATCAGCCACAACCTGAATTTTAGATGGAAATAATGCCAATGAAATTATCTTTGAATCTTACTCAACTGGACAAAGATAAACCATAAAGACCTTCAAATTTAATCTCGTTTCCCATATGAGTAAGAAGATATTTAAAACAACAGACTGTAAAAAGGTGAAACAGATTTGAGTAGATTCCAAACATGAAACTGGTCCAAAAGGAGCCATGGTTCATATAATATCACATTTCGTGCTCTTTAGAAAAACCTGGAATTTAACTGAACACAATTACTTACCATGATAAAGAACTTGTACTTGTTTATTTAAGATTTAGTAAAGAATATATTTTAATTTGTATTCAGTATGCTCGTCAAAATACTTGTGAGGTGTATACATGTGCACAGACACATGCACACACAGATAAACACACATGTCCATACATGCCCTAGACTGTGCTTATGGGAGCAAGAGGAAATAAACATAGCTTTTCCCACTCATTTCCTTGTGCTGTATTACTGTTTCCTGGCAAAAAAAAAAAAAAAAAGACACCAAGATATCCTTGTACCCAGCATTTCGTTGTGATGTCCTTGCTCCTGTAGCAAGTAACCTCTTGTTAAAGGTTACTTGATAAAGAATGAAACATGAATAGGAAACTCAGTTTCTAATTTAACTCATGAATTAAACATGGCTTCTAAAAAAATCAAATGGTTTAAGTCACTACATTAACCATTTTTTTCCTGAATTGTCTTTATTTGGAAGTGTGTTTTCAGGACACATTGAAAAAGAGCAGTATATTAATTTCTGTATGTATGAGTTTGTGTATGAACTCTAGAGTATGTCACAGAGACATCATATTTAGCTAAAATAAGTATTTTATTACTTCTTTTTATTCTGTTATTTAAAATGTCCTCATATCCCTCATATCCCTCAAAATTCAGGGTTTCAAGTATATCTCAATCCACGATTGTAAAACTGACAGAATGCAGTTAATCGTTACTACTGTATTTAAGAATTGCTAATATATTCAGTTTGGGGTTCTGTGTACTGGTTTGCTTCTCTTTGATACAGACAGAATACAGATTTTCTATAGAAATTTTCTGGAAACACTGCCACTCTATATGGAGTAATGGTGATTAGTGAGTCAAAATGTGAAAAACAGTGGCTGAGACTCATCTCCACACAAAGCTCACATTTTCAATGCCACTGTACAGTATTTATTGTGTATGTAACATATCAGTGCATTCAATTATATGTATTCAGTACATAATTAGGTAAAATATGACTGTTAATGAAACACAGATGCTCTCTAATCTGTCAAATTCATTGACAAATGTTAGATACAGGCTCTAAATCTCAGTCAACATCCAAGTTTTGGATGTCATGTGGGCTACTTTTTTCCTCGCTAAGGAGCTCTATGTGCAATGTAATTGTAAAGTTTAATTCAGTAAGCATTCATTTTTAAAAGTTTTTAATTCTTAAACACTGACCCATGTATTAATAAACTAAAAAAAAAAAAAATTACTTGATTTCATTTATCTGTGGATGTAAAGTCACCTTGTATTCTGAGATGCATTCCCAGTGCCATGCATACATCTATCACAAATGAAGAAGTCACATTGTAAGCACATCCTCTGGCTCACATTTCCTTTGATAATGAATAAAAATCTCATTCAGAAGAAGATTTTCTGGGGTTGCAAGTCTTCCCAGATGTATTCAAAACTTATGCTACATCTTCCTCTATTCACATAATAGTGATAATATATGTGTATGTATATATATATTTTTTCATATATATATATATATATATATATATAATGTAGTCAAGTCCCATGCATGCAGTTTACCATTCCTTGCATTTTAGGTATCCACTCTGAAGCCTCTAATGGCAGCAAAAAATTATCAACGACTGCTGAAGCTGACGCCATTTCTCTGCAATTTATATGCAATTGCTCCATCTGTCACACAGTACACCTTTTGACCCCATTTAATTTTGGGAAATGCTCGATTTTCAGAAACCACATAGCACATTATTAGTTGTATGACCTCCTAGTTTCACATAGAGCATGCTCAACTTTCTGGAAACTTCCAGCTGCAACCAGATTAATACAGGATTTAGTAGTCATTCTCTTAGTGATATGTTTTATTTATACAGTCATTTCAATAGATCTCTAAAGCTCTTGATTTCCCATCCCATGACAGCTATTATAATTTTACAATCACCTCAAGTCAACAGTTCATTACAGACTCAAGGGATCATCAGGAAAGTGGAACTGTACTTTCTTTTCTGCATTTCTCCCAAGACTGGTAGGTTGGCTTAAATTTGAGTTTCACTTAGTGGGCAAGCCTTGAGTCATTTCATGTCCAAAAAGAGGGCTCTATCAATGGGGAACTTTTGTGGTCATAACACTGTCCCTGGCTCATGGCTATGGCTAAGGCTCTCTAGCTACCTTTATAATCATACCAAGAAGTTCTCTACTACCCTATGTCCTAATTTCAGCTATAATTATTTTTTCTTCTTCCTAGTAATTGGTGCAGTGCTGTGGTTTGGCTTTAGTCTGAGAATAATGCTGATAACACACCAATGTTTTAGCTGTTGCTAAGTCTCTCGTGCTCTGCCAGTGAGGAGGGGCACAAGAAGCCTGGAGGACCTGAGCCAAACTAGCCAAAGGGGTATTCCATACCATAGCATGTCATGCTCACTATATAAACTGGGGGGAGTTACCTGGAAAGGACCAGACTGCTGCTAGGGTAGGGCTGGGTATTGGTCAGGGGGTGGTGAGCAATTGTATTGTGCATTACTGCTGTTTATTGTGGTTTTCCTCTTCCTTTTCTGCTTTTAGTTTTATATTCTCTTCGCTTGTTATTTCCCTTATCATTATTATTAGTAGTATGCTCTACTTCAGCTACTGGACTGTTCTTATCCCAACCCATGGGGTTTACATTCTTTTGATTCTCCTCCTCATTCTGACTGGATGGGGAAACGTGGCGGGGAGAGCAAACAGCTGCATGGGTCTGGGTTACTGGCTGGTTATAAACCGTGACAATCTACATACCTGTATTTTTAGAAGCCTGTTGATCTGAATTAGAGAAAAAGAAATATATGCATATTGTCTATATTTAAATAACCATTACTTCTTCATTATTTCCTGAATATTGGCAAAATGTGTGTGCAATTGTGTGTGGGTGTATACATGTGTGTAAATATATACACATGTATGTACATGAAAATGCTCTGTACAGGTAATAGTCTGAACACAGGTTTATTCTCTGGCACAGTCTTCCCATAAAGGTATTAAAATGAAATTATAATCTGTCAGCAGTGTGCATAAGTCCAGCAAACAGCCACATTCAATGATTTCAAAGCAGCCCTTAGATGGGTTCCATCTCTCTCCTAAATAAAATTAAGACTTAGATTCCTACTGTAGTTTTTAATGTGGAAGCCAATGAAAGCTCAGAATTTTACTTTACTTTGTCTGAATTAGATTTCTGGGAGTTTATTTTAATTCCTATATCATCACTGAATAGCAGAAGACCATGATTACAATGGCTGTTATTTTAATACAACAACAACAGAACTATTTGGGTAGCAGCTGCTAATTCTGTATGCCAGCAACATTTAACTAAGGAACATGTAACATAATTGGGTTTGTATTCTTTATGACTCCAGCTACAACACACATAAAAAAGAAACCCCAAAGCACTAGAATTTCAGACCACAGCAAAAGTTTAAATGCTGCTATATAGCCAGGAAATATTTCTTTTCAAGAAAAGAGAATTAAAAGGCAATTCTTCGTCTTTGAAATTGGATGGTAAGAAAATGAGGAAAAATCCCTACAGTTTTGTGTTCCATACATTAATGAGGATTAAAACAAAAAGAAAATGCTATTTCATAGGCTTTTTTCAAATAGTTTTAGAGAACTTATGAGAAAAAAAAATCTATATAGACACTTCGATTGAAAAACTAGATGTACAGACGATACACAATCTTGATCACTATTGGGATCAAAAAGAGCTTACAAAAGATAGTAACAACAGTTACCACTTAGGAGCTATGTTGTTACATGAAATTTTGGCCTGCCTACATTCTGATTATATGTACTATCCTGTATTCACCAGCTAAATGCTACTGACTCTTATTCCAAGTAGCATGCAAAAGATAAATAAAACCTTAATTTATTTAACTTTAGGCAGTATTTCTTCCCTTTAGTCATTTTTTCAAAGCTTCCTATATATTTAATTTTTGGAAAGTGAGTCATTCATTTCAGGAAGATTGTTAAATACATGTCGTGATGAAGATACTGGTATTTACACTAGACACTTGTCATAGTTACTGTAAGAACCACACTTGAAAGCTATTTCTTACTCTGAAAATATTTTCATTTGTTTAGATTGTATTTATTCGTACAATCATAGAATAGTTAGGGTTAGAAAGGACCTTATAATCATCCAGTTGCAACCCCCCTGCCATGGACAGGGATGTCTCACACAAGACCATGTTGCCCAAGGCTCTGCCCAACCTGGCCTTAAACACTGCCAGGGATGGAACAT